TCAGTTCCATGGGGAACACTGTCCCTGTAATCAGTTCCATGGGGAACACTGTCCCTGTGGTCAGTTCCATGGGGAACGGGAAAGCACCATGCAATACACACCAGGAGCTGGGAACACAGAGCTCGTGTTCCCAACCCCACCAAGTGAGCAGCTCACACAGGGAGGGCTTCCTGATGGGAGTGAATTTGAGAAGAGGTCTGAAGAATGCATCAGAGTGAGACAGGAAAGTGGAGGTGGAAAGGGATTCTCGGAGGCAGGACGGCGCACACATGCACTGGAGAAATTTGTCCTACAGAAAGCAAGTGCTTTTCCTGGGTCTGAGAATCAGCAAGGCGAACCTGCTGCTCTGAAGGTCAATGCTGTAAGTGGATGTTGGATACCTGCTCTATGTTCAGCCATGTGGAGGGTACAGAGGAGTAGCAGGGAGCTCTTTGCACTCAGAATGCTTGACAAGCACCGTCCAGTTGTAGAGCCTAGAGAACAAGGTTATCTGGGGAACCTCTACCACTGGAGCGGCTTCATTGTGAAAACCTCCAGCAGCCAAGAACTTTCTGCCTCTCAAGGCAGCCACACCATCATAGCGAGAGCAATGTCCTTAAATTTTAAAATGGGCCCCCTAATGTCTCCCAGGAACACCCCAGTTTTCCTTTCAGAGGCAGTCACACAAAAAGGGTCTACGGCCTTCTCCATGCAATAGCCCCGCAAATATTTGAAGACAGTGCTCATGTCTCACCTCCACTCCAACCCAAATCTCTCCTTCCCATTATTTTGTTTGTTTGTTTAGAGACATAGTCTTGCTCCGTTGCCCAGGCTGGAGTGCAGTGGCTCAATCTCAGCTCACTGCAACCTCTGCCTCCGGGGTTCAAGCCATTGTTATGCCTCAGCCTCCTGAGTAACTGGGATTGCAGGTGCTCACCACCACTCCCAGCTATTTTTATATTTTTATTTTTATTTTCAGTAGAGAAAGGGTTTTGCCATGTCGCCCAGGCTGGTCTTGAACTCCTAGGCTCAGGCAATCCACCCGCCTCAGCCTCCCAAAGTGCTAGGATTACAGGCATGAGCCACTGCACCCGGCCTGTTTGTTTTTGAGATGGAGTCTCACTCACTCTGTCGCCCAGGCTGGAGTGCAGTGGTGTGATCTTGGCTCACTGCAGCCTCCACCTCCCAGGTTCTCGCGATTCTCCTGCCTCAGCCTTCTGAGAAGCTGGGACTACAGGTGTGCGTGCCACCACATCTGGCTAACTTTTTTGTATTTTTAGTAGAGATGGGGTTTCACCATATTGGCCAGGATGGTCTTGATCTCTTGACCTCGTGATCCTCTGGCCCTGGCCTCCCAAAGTGCGGGTATTACAGGCGTGAGCCACCATGCCCAGCTAATCTTTATATTTTTAGTAGAGATGAGGTTTCACCATGTTGGCTAGGCTGGTCTCAAGCTTTTGTCCTCAAGTGATCCTCCCACCTCAGCCTCCCAAAGTGCTGGATTCACAGGCATGAGCCACGGCGCCCGGCCTCCTTTCCAATCTTGAACACGTAACACAACTGAAATACCATAGTGGACAATGCCAAAATGGGGGCCAGGCAGCACGTTCTGGAAGGACTTGGTTTCTTTGTTTTTTGAGACAGAGTCTCACTCTGCTGCCCAGGCTGAGTGCTGTGGTGCAGTCCCGGCTCACCGCAGCCTCCCCTCCTGGGCTCAAGCAATTCTCCTCCCTCAAGCCCCTGAGCATCTGGGACTACAGGCACGTGCCACCACGCCTGGCTAATTTTTTATTATTTATGGAGACAGTGTCTCACTATGTTGTCCAGGCTGATTTTAAACTCCTGGACCCAGGCGATACTCCCTCCGTGGCCTCCCAAAGTGCCAGGATTACAGGCATAAGCCACCATGCCTGGCCTCTGGAAGGACTTTCAAAGTGAGATGTTATGGGCTGCAGTGACGAGGAGGGGCCACACTGTTGAAGAAGAAACTGCCTTGGTGAGCTTCGAGGAGAAGGGAGTCGGCTAAGGGAGTGGACATGGCATTCCAGGAGGAGGGTAGAACCCAGACAAAGGCCTGTCTTTAGTGCCTATTTGTTACGTTTAGTAACCTTGCTTTCCCTTAATATAAATTAGTATGTTTCCTATATAAACTTTAGGAAATGCAGATAAGCAAAGGGAAGAAAGAAAAATCGCCTACAATTCCACTACCGGCCGGAGATAACTCCCCTAGTGTGCTCATCTATGTCCATCAAGGCGTTTGGTCTGCATGTACAGGCATGCGTTTTAGCCAGGGTGGCACTATACATAGTTTACGATACGCTTCTAGTCACTTGAAAATATACAATGAATCTTTACCAGGTCACAAAACATTTTTCTCCAGCATTATTTTGGAAGCTGCATTTGTTTTGCTTTGGACATATTATTCTTTTAACCAAACCTCTATTGTCAGACATGGAGGTTGTTTTCATTTTTTTCTTTTCTTTCTTTTTTTTTTTTTTTTGAGATGGAGTCTAGGTCTGTCACCCAGGCTGGAGTACAATGGCATGATCTCAGCTCACTTCAACCTCCGCCTCCTGGGCTCAAGTGATTCTCCTGCCTCAGCCTCCCAAGCAGCTGGGATTACAGGTGCCTGCCACCACACCTGGCTAATTTTTGTATTTTTAGTAGAGACGGGGTTTCGCCATGTTGGCCAGGCTGGTCTCAAACTCCTGACATCAGGTGATCCACCCACTTCGGCCTCCCAAAGTGCTGGGATTACAGGCATGAGCCACCACGCCCGGCCTATTTTTTTCTTAAACTGCTAGAAATGAAGTCTGGGTGTTCCCACATTCCTTAGCAATCCAGGTGTCTTCCTTCCCGTTAATTCCTACATAACTACAGATCCCCATAATTACAAGACATCCAGTTCTTCCATCAAGTTCCTTCCTCCAGGGCTTCTGAGAGACCCCAAGGAAGGCTTTCATGTTCCACAGACCTGCGGGGCTGTCTTGTCCTCCTGCCCAGCCACTGGAATCCGAAGCCTACTTCTCCCTAAGGGTTCCTTGTAACCTGTTTCTCTGGTTGTAGTCTCCCCATACTGCCTTGTCATCAAAGTCATCAAAAACCCTATATCCATCATGGTTCATTCAGCAGCACAGAAACCAGTCTTTCAGACCAAGGGACTTGAATGTAAAGGAGCTTGTCACCCAGATGATGGAGGAGCTGGGACTCTAATCAGGACAAGGAGACAGTTCAGAGATTTCCCCATAGCAGGAAGCTGTGCCATCCTACCAACTGAAAGGAAAGATGCAGGGAGAAGGTGTTGCCAGAGCCAGGAGCTGGCCTCCAGACAGGAGCAAGAGAGACAGAGGGGGCTGCCTGGCTGGTGGACTGTCCAGAGGGAGGGGGAGCTGCAGAGGAGACACGGCCATTGCTGGGGAAGCCACTTAAAGCAGAAAAGATGGGGAGAAACGCTCTGATCTCTGCCTCCCCAGTCTTCCTCCAGGTTTAACCCCTGGGGGAAGACTGATGAGGCAGAGATCAGAGCCTTTGATAAAGGAGTCTGGGAAATGTAGTTTCCTACAATTACAGAAAATGACTGGCATGGGCCCTATCTTCATTTCTTCAAAGCACACCTTAGATTTGTCAAACAAACTTTAGCAAAGGCCCGGGGCTGACAACAAACAAATGGCAATTCAGGAAAGAAAAACTTAAACAGGGATCCAGGATATCACAGCCCATTATATCCAATGGGCTTGGCAGGAGCCCTGCTAAAATCTCAGCTTGTCATTGTGGCCTGGGGCCAGGCAAACTCTTCCCAGGGGCAGGACCCTCTGATCATGTCCACCCTGACCAGAGTCCAAGCCCCAGGCCCCTTCAACCTTCTCCGGGGCCCTGCAGGGAGCAGAAAACCATTTCCTATACACCCGTCCCTTCATTCACACGAAGCCATGAAGCTCGTGTTCATCTCTGTAGATCCTGCCCCATGTGGCAGAATGACAGCATGGGCGAGCAGCCTGAATCTTCATTGTCTGGAAGCAAAGGCCCATTCATGAATTTCATCCCCATGTCTAGCACAGCAAAAAGTATCACTGAAGTTCAAGTTCCATTTTTTTTCTAACCTTTTGCAGATCCTAGACCCAAAGGCTCAAGGTAAGAGTGTCTGGGCTTCCTCACCCCCAACAGCCTCTCTAGGGGAGAGCCGTTCCCAAGCCCACTCCAAGTGTGGGGACCTGCCTTGAAATGGAGGGTCAAGGAGGAGCATCAGGCACCCTCTATCTCCTCCCGCCAGACAAAACAAAGGAGCCACAGCTTTTCCTTTGCTGCAAGAAACATTCTGGGACTTTTTTTTTCCTCTCTTGTCCAGTTATTTTCCTCAGGGTAAATCCCCTAGGAATAGAATTATTAAAGCAAAAGATAGGCCTGTGGTGTAGGCTTTTGATCCACAGTGCCAAATTGCTTTCTGATAAGCTGCATATTGTGGATTATTCTTGCCTTTTCTGCCCCTCAGCTCCCTGATAAACCATTTGGGATGAATCAGCCACCAGACCAGATAAACAAGCCAGCCTGTTACTGTTGCTGTTTTCTGCAAGACGGAAGAGAACACCCTTGGATCCCGCCCAGAACCTGGAATTCCAGAGCACCCAGGCCAGAGCACCTTTGTACCCCTGATCCCCACCGGCTCAGGTTCCGCCCGCCCCCTTCTCCCCGCCCCATGCTTGAGTGGAGCGGGTGGAGCCAGCTGCCAGGGCGCCAAGACTCCCAGCCCTCCCTCTGTGCACGGCAGAGTGGAGACCAAGGGAGGGCTCTGTGCCGGCCCCGATGAGGACGCTGCTGACCATCCTGGCTGTGGGATCCCTGGCCGGTGAGTGCCCATTCGCCCTGTGGTCAGACCTCCCCCATCCCAGGGGCCCATGAGCAGGGTCATCTCCCCAGCACCCTCCCCAGCCCCAGCATAGTCAGTTTCGTTTCTTCCCTCCTAGGGCTGAGCGGGGTGCCGGGTGTTCACGGAGAAGCAAATGCCCAGCTTGTGTTGCTGGGGGGCATGAGAGGGTGCCTCAGACCCTGGCTTCTTCCAGGGACCCAACTGACCCTCAGGTCTTGGGGGATATAGCTAGCTGTCCGAACTGGGGTGCTGGATTGCTGCACCTCGGTGAATGGAGAATTGGCCTGGAGGAGGCAGACATCCTTCGGTCCCTCAAATGGTGCTGGCACAGGCTGTACTGTCCCTTCCTCTGCCTCTCACCTGGCACTGGCCTGACAGGGGAGACGGAGGAAGGACGGGGGGAATGGAGCTTGAGTTCTGCCATTGCCACCCTCCATGCCCCTGCAGGGCCTCTTTGGCCCCTTTTGTTATTATGGATCTGAAAGCATTTTCTCCTAGAGTGGCTAGGTCTGCTACATTAATAGGTCTTAAGACACAGGACCCGTTTGGAAACAGAGCTTAAGGCCATAGTGTTCAAAGCCAATCAAGTGGGTTGGGGGCTCCTCATGATGGAGAATGTTACATGAGCCCCTAGACTCTGTCTCTGCTCAATTCAGGGAACTTCCTTAGGAAGTCAATGCATAGTCCTGATTGAGGATGGTGACGAGGTATGGCCTCAGCCAGGCCCTCCCTGCTCCAGGGCGGGAAGAGGCCCACAAAGCTGCAGAGCTCACTGGTCCCTCTGCCACTTCCCCCCAGGGCTCCCAGCTCTGTGGAGTTCCTTCAGTCTGTGCTCCACAGAATCAGGCTGGGCATCCCAGGAAGTTGTGAGGCACCCCCGCAAGGCCCTAAGACACGTTCCTTTAGACCCCAGCCATACTGGTTGGAAATCCTAGAGGCTCCTAGCCCTTTGAGACGGGGGATCCACAAGAAACAGCCCTTAGGAGATTGTTGAGGGTCAGCTGTCTCATGCTGCACGCCCAGCCCCTCACACCCCCAATCGTAGGCTGACTCCAGAGCATGTGGAATTGTTTCTTGTTTGTGTGTTTTTCCTTAGCTTCCCAGCTGGTGGACAGAACGTTGTTTTCCACAAGAATGTGAAAAAACATGTTGCCTTTTATAAATCCGCCAGCCTGCCAGGCTCCACACAACACATGCCTCCCCCGGTTTCACAATACAGACTTTCAGCCGGGAAGGGCCGAAGCAGCACAGGCTGAGGCATGGATGACAGATTTGAGGAGGAGAAGGAGCGAGTGGGGCAGGAGAAGAGGGGAGACCTTGTTAGTTCCCTGATACCCCTAAAAGAGAGGGGTGGGCCGAGGTCCACTCACCCCACTTCAGGAAGTCAACTGCAGTTCCTGCCTGAAAAGTGGTGCCAACCTCCATGGAGCCCAGGGTCCTTTGCCTTGGCAACATGCCCCACCTCAGCCACCAGCCTTCAACCCAGATGAGCCCTGTTTCCCACCCAGGACACTGACCTCAACCAGCAACTGTTCCCATTGCAGACTGTACCCCAACCCTTTATGGAGCCTCTCAAATGCCACCCTCACCCTCCTGCCCTGACGCACCACCCCACCAGAGCCACTATTCAGGTCTGACTTGACTGGACTCCCTTCCCCAACTTTAGACTCAGCCCTGAATCCATCATGGCCCCCTCCAGAAGTATCCCCAGTTCCTCCCAGTCTCACATCCAAACAGGACGTCAGCTGCAGCCTGAGGCTCTGCAGCACAGCCGTCATCTTGGGTAGAGGCAGTAGACACCTCCCCATGCTGTCCCTAAGGCCCCATTCTGGGGACTCCAGGAAGCCTGAAGACATTTTGCAGCTGCTGGGCCAGAACCCAGATTCAGAGAGGAGAGAAGCCTTCGAGGTTAGCCAGAGGATGTGCGGCGGGGTCAGACCACGCTTCCCCATCCCCACCGGTCCTCGCCAAGCCTGAGCACCCCTCTTGGAGTGCGGGAATCAGTAACTGTCCGCTCCCTCACACCTTGGGCCTGCCGGTGGTCGTCGGCGTGTCTGGGGAAGGAGGGGCATAGACATATCAGACACACACCCAGGCCTCAAGGCCTTGACCCAGTTGGGGTGCTGAACATTTTCCCACCTGTTTTTTTCCCAGGCCGGTCAACAGGGGCCTCTGAGTCAGGAGCCGGCTGCCAGCTTGGGCCGCCATTTTACCGCAGGCTCTTGCTGTCCACAGCCCAAGCCTGGGGGGCTGAGGGAAGGGCTTTATAAGTTAAGGGCTCTTTGTGGCTTCGGCCCCTCCCCAGCCCCTTCCTTGAGGCTGAGACCTTCGCTTCTGTTGGCTTACCTTAAGCAGAGCTGGGCCGCACACAGACCTCAGCTGGAAGAGAAGGCCGTGGACTCTTAAAGGCCCAGCTTCTCTCCTCCTGTCTCCTCTCCTCCTCCCTAAATTCACCCATTTATCAGGTGCTCAGGTCCCTGAAGTCGCCCACCCTCATATAAAAGGGTGAACGAGACAGCCCCCTCCCTACACAGCGAACGTTGGCCTTCCCAGGCCTCCTCCCTTCAGACTCCACACATGTGCTTAGGGGCCTGTTAGGCACTAAACACATCCACTGACACTGCCCCCCTCTCTGCGCCCCACAACCAGTCTAGCACGGGATGGATATTGTAGGCTCTTCACATGCTGACTGTGAAGCTGGGCAACAGCTCTCTCTCAACCTCAGTTTTTCTCTTTCATCAAATGGGGATAGTGACAGTGGGCACATTGTCGTGAGGATTTAATGAAGCAAGGGACTTGCCTGTAAGAGGTCGGGCACTTCACAAATGCCAGCGGCTGCCGTTGCCATTATTGTCTGTCTTTAGGTAAATCAAACTCTTTCCATTTTAGAGATGAGGCAGTTGAAGCTCTCGTTGCTTAAACAAGTTTCCTAAGGTCACCCTGCTCGTGTGTAGGCTCAGTCAAGTGTCCTGCCCCCTACAAATTTTGTGCAAAATAACTCTGCCTCTGAGAAGCCAGCCTGATGGGTGGGCAGGGATGGGCTCAGCCAGTGGAGAGACCGGAATTCACAAGCGCCTCCTCCACCATTGCTTCAAATGACTGACTTGGGGCAAGTTACTTCTTACACATTTTAGTTACATATCTGTAAAATAAGGGTGAGGACACCAACTTCAGGTTGTGTTAAAAAGTGAATGAGAGACAATACCAAGCATTGATGGGGATGTGGAGAAATTAAACCCTTCGAACAATGCTGGTGGGAATTTAAGATGGTGCAGCCACAACAGCCTGGACAATATAGTGAGACCCCATCTCTACAATAAAAAATTAAAAAATAAATTAGCCAGATGTGGGGGTGAACAGCTATAGTCCCAGCTACTTGGGAGGCTGAGATGCAAGGATTGCTTGAGCCCAGGAAGTTGAGGCTGCAGTGAGCCATGATCACGCCACTGCACTCCAGCCTGGGGGAATGAGCAAGACCCTGTCTCAAAGGAAAAAAAAGATGGTGCAGCCACTTTAGAAAATAGTTTGACAGTTCTTCAAAAGGTTAAAGATACAGCTACCATGTAACCTACCAAATTCTACTCTTAGATATATAACCAAGACAACTGAAAACATGTGTCCACTTATAAAATTGCAGTGTTCACAGCAGCATTATTCATGGTAGCCAAAACGGAAAAACAACCCAAATGTCTTGATGACTGGATAAACAAAATGTGGTGTATCACACAATGGAATAATATTCAGCCCTAAAAAGGAAGTACTAATCCATGCAACCACATGTGTGAAACTTGAAAACATTATGCTAAGTGAAAGAAGCCAAGGCTCTATTTATATAAAAAGTCTAGAGTAGGCGAATGCACAGACACAGGAAGTAGATTCGTGGTTGTCAGGGGTTAGGGGAGGAGAAGAATGGGGAGTGAGTGCTAATGGGCATGCAGTTTTTTTGGGGTGGTGCTGAAAATGTTATGTTCTGGAATTAGATAGTAGTGATGGTTGCACAACATTGTGAAAATACTAAGAAACCATTGAACTGAACACTTAAGGTGGTGACATGTGTGGAATGTGAATCACGGCTCAATGCAAAGCAAAATGACTGAGAGTGGACGGTTCCTTAGAGCAGTGTGGGGAGTGTCCTCTCTCGCTGGCCTGTTTATAGAAGGCTGGGGGCCGGGGTCTGCCTGTTCACCCACCAGGCTGGCATCTTGAAAGCAAAGGCACTTTGCAAGAAATTTATATGGAGCAGGACTCTGAGTCCACACGTGGGTAGGGTGACCCTGGGAAAGCCCCTGCTCACCCTCCTCCCACCCTCTTGCAGCTCATGCTCCTGAGGACCTCTCAGATCTGCTCCAGAACGTGAAATTCCAGTCCAGCAACTTTGAAAACATCCTGACTTGGGAGAGCGGGCCAGAGGGTACCCCAGACACGGTCTACAGCATCGAGTATAAGACGTATGCTTCTCTCCTGACCCCACCTCCTTTGCTCTGAAGCCAACCCCTCTCCAAGGAATCCCCTCCTCTCTGTATGTCCCCATGTCCCCAGGACTGGTGTCACACAGCCTCTCCCAGATAAAGCTTTGCTCCTTTATGTTTCTTTTGCGGAGGGAGAATAAAATAAGGGTGAAAAGTACAGGCGATAGGGTCAGGCTGTCTGGGCTTAAATGCCAGCTCGTGCTTGTATAACCTTGGGCAGCCAGGTAAGCACATCAAGCCTCAGTTTCTCTGCCCACAAAGTGAGGAGAATGACAGCACCTTCATCGCAGAGTTGTTGGGTGGATTAAACGAGATAAAGTCATTTACACTTGTGCCTGGAAAATTATAAGCTACCAATAATTGTCTTATTATTATTAGTGAGATCAGGTCAACCGAAGATGCACCCAGCCCCTCTAGCCCACGCTCCTGTTTCTGCTCCTCTCCCTCCTATGCAGGTGAGGAGGGGTGGCCTGGACGCAGGAGTCCTCAAACCTGGCTTCCACTCCTGGTCATGCCACGCTGTCCTGTGGCAAGTTACTTTCCCCTCTCTGAGCCTCATTTCTCTCATCTGTAATATGGGGATAACAGGGCCCACATCAAAGGGTTATGGTGATGATGAGCCCAGAATGTGGACTCAGACTGGCCGGGTTCAAATCCTGGCTCCCCACATGCAGGCTTCAAACACATGGGCTCTTTACTTCTTTGAGCCTCATCTTCTTTATTTGCAAAATAAAGAGAATAGTCTGGGCACAGTGGCTCACCCCTGTAATCTCAGCACTTTCGGAGGCCGAGGCAGGTGGATCACTTGAGGTCGGGAGTTCGAGACCAGCCTGACCAACAGGCTGGCCATACTGTCTCTACTAAAAACACCAAAATTAGCTGGGCGTGGTGGTGCACTCCTGTAATCCCAGCTATTCTCAAGGCTGAGGCAGAGGAATCAGTTGAACCCGGGAAGCAGAGGTTGCAGTGAGCCAACATTGCGAAACTGCACTCCAGCCTGGGCGACAGAGCGAGACCCTGTCTCAACAAGAGAAAGAGAGAGGGAGAGGGTGAGAAGGAGAGAGGGATAGAGGGGGAGAGGGAGAGGGAGGGGAAAAGGGAGGGAGAGAGAAAGAGAAAGAAAGAGAGAGAAAGAAAAAGAGAAAGAGAAGGAAAGAAAGAAAAAGAAAATGCCTCAGAGGATCATTGTGAGAACAAAATGAGATATTCATATAAAGGGCCTGGGCCACAGAATGTGCTAAGTAAATTAGATCTCCTTGACATTATTAATAAGCCACAGGGCTAGGGCCAGCCTTTCCATCACCTCGGTGACCCGGCCCCTCCCTGGCCTGCAGGTACGGAGAGAGGGACTGGGTGGCAAAGAAGGGTTGCCAGCGGATCACCCGGAAGTCCTGCAACTTGACGGTGGAGACGGGCAACTTCACGGAACTCTACTATGCCAGGGTCACCGCCGTCAGCGCGGGAGGCCGGACAGCCACCAAGATGACCGACAGGTTCAGCGCTCTGCAACACAGTGAGTTGGAGCCCCTGTGGGCTTCAGGGGAGGGGAGAGGAAAGCGCAGGTGTTTTGGGGTGGGATGGCTCTTCCCCTCTGGAGTGGGTGGAGGGCCCAGAAGGGGCTTTCTGCAAGGAGTGTGGCTTTTAGGGAAGGCACCGCACCCCCCCCCCATCAATTACTGTGTGGCCCTAGCAGATTTGTTCATTTTTCTCCACCTCCATCCCAACCTCCCTAGTTCAGACTACGCTTATCTCACCCCTCGACTGACTGTGGTCAAAGCCACCTAACTTGTTTCCTCAACTCCCCCCTTTACCACCTCCTCCAGCCCATTCTCCACAGAGCATTTAGAGAGATTTCCTCAACACATAAATCCCACCTTCTCTTCTCAGCTTAAACCCTCTGGGAGCTTCTCATGACTCTTAAAATAAGATCCAACTCCTTGCCATGGCCCTTGAGGCGCTGCCTGTCGTGGTCCTGATCTTGAACATGCCTTCCCAGGGCAGCCAGGCCTCTGACAGTTCCTGCCTCGGGGTCCTTGCTGCTCCCACTGTCTGGGGGCACTTCTGGGCTCTTCACATGACTGGCTCTTTTCCAGTCCTCAGGGCTCAGCTTCAACATCACCTCCGAAGTCAGTGTCCCCACCTCCAGCCCTGACCACCTGATTTTGGTAGGCCGCCAACTGTAATTCTCTATTGCAATACAGAGTTTATCGTCTTCATCACTCACGCTGCAATTACTGTGTTTGCTGACACGTGTTATCTGCCTCCCCCTCTAAAACGTGAGCTCGAGAACGACCCGTGTGGGCGGCAGAATCCACCACATTCTCAGCCCTCAGCATAGTGCCTGGCACATAGAAGATGCTCAATAGCTGGGCGTGGTGGCTCACACCCGTAATCCCAGCATTTTGGGAGGCTGAGCCAAGAGGATCATTTGAGCCCAGGAATTCAAAACTAGCCTGGGGAACACAGTGAGACTCTATCTCTATAAAAAATTTAAAAATTAGCCAGATGCATTGGCATGCACTTGTAGTCCCAGCTACTTAGGAGGTTGAAGTGAGAGGGTAGCTTGAATCCAGAATGTCAAGACTGCAGTAAGCTGGGATTGCACCACCGCACTCCGGCTTAGATGACACAGAGAAATCCTGTCTCAAAAGAAAACAAAGATACTCAGTAAATGAATGAAGGAGTGGATAGCAGTTGCTGATATGATTTGGCTGTGTCCCCACCCAAATCTTATATTGAATTCTAGTTCCTATAATCCTGTCTTGTGGGAAGGACCCATGGGAGGTAACTGAATCATGGGGACAGTTTCCCCCATGCTATTCTCATGATAGTAAGTTCTCACGAGATCTGATGGTTTTATAATGGGTCTCTGTTTTTGCTTGGTTCTCATTTTCCTTCCTGCCACCATGTGAAGAAGGACATGTTTGCCTCTCGTTCCACCATGATTGTAAGTTTCCTGAGGCCTCCCCAGCCATGTGGAGCTATGAGTCAATTAAACTTCTTTCCTCTAAATTACCTAGTTTCGGGTGTGTCTTTATGAGCAGTGTGAGAACGGACTAACACAGTTGTCAAACTCCCCACACAAGCTAAGCATGTGATGATGTTCACCAGCTGACTTTACAGTCACAGATAGCTTTTTAAAAAAATTAAAAATAAAATTAAGTATTGTATTTTTAACCTGGCTTGTTCAATGAATTCACGCTTACTATAGAGAATTTGTGAAATATAGAAATACACAAAGAAAAATAAAAGTCACCCAAAGTGACCTTACCATTCAAACATAACTGCAGTACTAGTAGCTGTATCTATTTTGCAATCTGGCATTGCCTTTTGGTCCTGCGTTCATTTTCTCCATCTATTTGTATCGTGAACGTTTGCTCGTATCATTAAACATTTTTGCGCAAACATGGTATTTCACAGTGCAAAATGATCCATTCTAGGGAGGTACTCTAATTTACTTATCTATTTCCCTTTTTGAGAACATACAGCTCAGATTTTCAATTTTATTAGCACCACTGAAGTAAACATTGTTCTGACTCAGCTATTTTCAATCTTCAAGGCCACTGGATCATTGAGGTATTTTTACAAATTAGATTCAGGGGAAGTGAGGTCTATGAATCCCTGAAGTTGGATGCAAGATTTTTGTATGTGTACATTTTGGCAGGGAGAAGAGCCACAGTTTTCATCACATTCTCAAAGGAGTAAAACCAGCAAAGGTCATTTGGTGATTTGGAAAATTCCATCTTGAGAGAGACGGAAGTCTTCAGCCTGACCTTTGAGGCTGCATCCTAGTATTAGGCCCCAGATATTATTTAGGATGTGTAGTTGATGTCATTGACATCCCCAAAGCTGTCATACTCAATAGATGAGGGGGGAAGGGTGCTCCAGGCTGACTTAAGGTGGGGACACAGGGGGCTGGGATGTGTGGGGCAAGCCAAAGGCATGACTAAGCGAGGCGGCCGGCGCCCCTCACGCTGGGTTCTTCTCATCCACCCTTGGTCATCCCTTTGACAGCCTAAACCCAAACACCAGGGCTTGCAGAAACGTCTCTCTTTTCACTGTTTGTTTAGCTGGCATTGGAGTGGAAGGAGAGAGAGTCCAGTCATTTTCCGCTGTCCAGGGTGGCCTCAGACACTACGCACCAATTCTGACTTTTTCTTTTCTCTTTTCTGTCTCCCTATCCCCAGCTACCCTCAAACCACCTGATGTGACCTGTATCCCCAAGGTGAGATCAATCCAGATGATTGTTCATCCTACCCCCACGCCCATCCATGCAGGGGATGGCCACCGGCTAACCCTGGAAGAAATCTTCCAAGACCTGTCCTACCGCCTAGAGCTCCAAGTCAACCACACCTACCAAATGGTAAGTGTATGTTGCACCCTGGTCCTTCTCTGCCTAGGAAGCCTCTCCCTTCTCAATTAGATCTGAGCTGCTTTAAGAAAAAAGGGGACATGTTATGTAAATCAGCATTTCCCAAAACATGTCCTTTGAGAGGCTCCTTGAAGCCTGGAAAACATCACAAATGACAACCTCTCTCTTGTAAATTCACACACACAATAGCCAGCCAAAAGCTCTGACAAGTCCTACAGAGCCAAGACTCCACTATCAATTTGTTTAATACAACTTCTCCCAAATTTATTTGACCAGAGAAACTGTTTTTTGTTTGTTTGTTTGTTTGGTTGTGTTTTTTTTTTTAGACGGAATTTTGCTGTTGTTGCCCGGGCTGGAGTGCTATGGTATGACCTCTGCTTACTGCAACCTCTGCCTCTGGGGTTCAAGTGATTCTCCTGCCTCAGCCTCCTGAGTAACTGGGATTACAGGCGCCCGCCACCACGCCCATCTAATTTTGTATTTTTAGTAGAGACGGGGTTTCTCCATGTTGGTGAGGCTGGTCTCAAACTCCCAACCTCAGGTGATTCGCCCGCCTCAGCTTCCCAATATCCTGGGATTACAGGCGTGAGCCACCACGCCTGGCTACATTATTTTTTGTTTAATACCTTCTCACATCCTGGGGAACAACCTCTGTTAATATCTTCAGATGTTCACTTTAGAAAATGCGAGGATCACTTTCTACTGCTGCAGTTCTTTTTACTAGCTCTCCACTATTTGCAGGAACTATATACAGTTGAATGTGGTAAGATGAGTAATAATAAGAGGTAGAAGGCAAGGGCATAAATTGTCAAATAATATAGGAGTTCTTTCTTTTTGTATTCAGAAAATATTTGGTACCCCCTACCCCTAACACATGCCACCAATCCACAATTCAGTTAAATTAATATTTATTTCCTACTTTGTGGTTCCTGCTTGCAAGGAACTTATAATCTAGGGGGTGAAGAGGGAGTTAAAACAAGAATGCAATAGCTATCAGTAGAGGAAAATACGGGTATTGGGAGGTGGGGCAGGATGTCAGCGCAGCAAGATTTGGAAGACTTCCAGAAAACTTTTGGGAAGCCGAAAATGACATAATATGAATATATGACCTGACATGCCTCAGAAATTGGTATTGGCCTCCAGAAAGACAATACCAAAAGTCATTCTTTTAAAGCACACAATTTAGATGTTGTTTATTCATAAAGTTGTGAAACCATCACCACTATCTAATTCTATCAAATTGGCTTCCAGAAAGCCAACACCAATTTCTGGGACAAGCCTGGTAATATATTAATGTTAATGGCATCTTGGTAATGTATGCATAAGATGCATGCCAGGTAGTGTATGCATATTATATCATTTCATCTTCATCAGAGCCTTGTGAGAAAGGTTCTATCATCTCCATTTTCTAGATGAGGGAACCAAGAGAAGTTAAGTCACTTGCTCAAGGTTGTTCAGCAAATAATAGTGTAGACAGAATTCGAATCCAGTTCTGTTTAGCCGACATTTCTTCCACCACTGGCTGCCTATACTGCTCCACCATAATCAGAGAGAAAAATAGGAAAACTTAAGCTATTTTTTTAAAAAAGAGACAAGGCCTCACTGTGTTGCCCAGGCTAGTCTTGAATTCCTGGGCTCAAGAGATACTCCCACCTTGGCCTCCCAAAGTGTTGGGATAACACACGTGCGCCACCGCACCCGGCCATCTTAGGACATTTTTGAAAAGCACTTCGGAACCGCCCACTTTGACAGGAACATAAGGACATGTAAAATAGTTTCTCAAAACATGGTCCCAAAGAAACAGCATCAGAATCTCCTGCGGCACTTGTTTAAAATGCAGATCCTTGGGTCCCCTTCCAGTCAATTTAAGATTTTGCACTTGCATGCCTTGGATCTGGATTTTAGTGAGCAACCCAGGTGCTTCTTCCCCAACGCAGAGCTTGAGAACCTCTGGTGTAGGGGGACCCTGGGAGATAAACCTCATAAAACTGGATGGGACTATGTTGTAGGAGGGGTAGGGTGGTGGAGGGGACTTCTTTCAGTAGCTGGGGGAGCCACTAGAGATTACTGAGCAGGGAGAGTCCCTATCATGTCTATTATTTGTTAAGTATTTGGGTTCTTACTAAATATTTTATTGTTACTGATTTCTAGCTTACTCAGTTTGTGAACACAGCTGTATGATTTCAGTCCTTTTAAATTTATCGGGGCTTGTGTTATTTCTGGCCCAGCCTATGGCCTGTCTTGGTGAATGTTCCTTGTGCACCCGAAAAGAATGTATATTTTGCAGTTGTTTGGTGGAGTGTGCTGTAAATATAAATTAGGTAAAAGTGGTTACTTGTGATATTCAGATCTTCTCTGTCTTTCCTGATTTAGGTGAGAAGTCAATTGGTCATTTAATTGCTGAAAATAGTAACTCTCCAACTATAGGTGTGTCTGTTTATACACCTGACGTGCCTGTCATCCCAGCACTCTGGGAAGCTAAGGCAAGAGGATCTCTTGAGCCCAGGAGTTCTATTTCCCCTTTAATTCTGTGCATTTTTGCTTCACGCATTTTGAAACTCAGTTATTAAATACATATACATTTATGATTGTTGTATCTTCCTCGTAGACTGACCCTTTTGTCATATGAATTGTTCCTTTTTTTTGTAGTCATACTCTTTGTATTGGAAGTCTACTTTATCTACTTTAGATTAATATAGCCACTCCAGCCTTCCAATGGTTTGCATTGTGTATCTTTTTACATTCATTTTCAATCTGTCTCTGTTGTTATATTTAAAATGTATCTCTTTAGCTCTGAGAGCCTTTACCTTTTTTTGAGTTATAATTTACATGCCGTGGAATTCATTCTTTTAAAGCATACAATTCCGATGTTATTTGCATATTCACAAGTTGTGAAACCATCACCGCTATCTAATTCTATCTTATCAATCTTTCTTCAGGGTCTCTGTTTTTTTCTGTCATTTTCAAAATGTTGTTGCAATAATTCAGTGGATTTTAAAATTTCAGATAATAATATCTAGAATTTTTCCAATTCTAAAGTTCCCAGTTTTTGTAGTGTCCATATTCTACTGAGATTTTCTATTCATTCATTCAATATGAACGTATTTTTGCTTCACTTACTGAAGCATTGTTATACAGCTGCTTTAAAATAATTGTCAGCCAGGCGAGGTGGCTCACGCCTGTAATCCCAGCACTTTGAGAAGCCAAGGTGGGCATATCACTTGAGGCCAGGAGTTCGAGACCAGCCTGGCCAACGTGGTGAAACCCCATCTCTACTAAAAATACAAAAATTAGCCAGGTATGGTGGCAGGCGCGTGTAATCCCAGCTACTCAGGAGGCTGAGGCAGGAGAATCACTTGAATCTGGGAAGCAGAGGTTGCAGTGAGCTGATACGGCACCACTGCACTCCAACTTGGGTGGCAGAGCGAGACTCTGTCTTAAAAAAATAAATAAAATCATTGTCTGCTAATTCAACATTCTGATCATCAGGGTCAGTTACTGTTGATTGTCTTTTCTCTTGAATATGGGTCACATATTCTTTCTTTGTATGTCTAACAATTTTGAAACATATCCTGGACATTATGTTGAAATTACTGTAGACTGTTATATTCCTCCAAAGAGTATTGGTTTGGTTTCATTTGGTTTTAGCAGGCAATTAATTTGGCTGAATTCCAAACTCTGAAATCTCTGTTCTTTTTTTTTGTTGTTTTTAACTTTACCTGGGCTGCTTGGCGTCTACCCCATTCATGCCTGCTTTAGGGGCCAGTCAGGGATTTGAGCAGAGTTTATACACAGAGTTTGGGCCTCCTTCTCTGTGGATCTCTCCTGTCTGTTATTTATTCTCTCATTTTCCAGGCGCTATGATTATTCCAAACCCCGCCTTTTGAGTATTCAAGTCAGTAAGAATACAGGGTTTCTATCTAGGTTTTAGCCATCCTACAAGGTAAGACTGGGGTCTGCCTTCAGGCTAAAAGACAGTAAAAATGGGAAATTTACCCATTGCCCTTTCTCCTCTCTCCAATATGTGCCTGCTTTTATTTTCTCTCTACTGCCTTTAAGTAATTGTTTTTCATTTTGCTCAGAATTTATAGCTGTTATTTTGGGGATGTTTGGTCCAATAGAAGCTATAAATTACTAGGATCAAAATGAAAAAAGATCAAATATGGAAATAGAAGAGATATCAGAGTAGAAGGTTAGAAGACAATTGCAATGGCATAAGCTGGAAATAAGGGCTGAACCAGGATGGAGGGAGTGAAAAACTTGGGGAAGGAGGAATCAGGGCCTTGGCAAATCTCCTGGGGTTCTATCTCATGATATGTAACGTGTCCAGTTTCAACCATACGAGTTCCACAGTACAATAGGTTAAAAAATGCATTTATGTGCTTCTTTACCCACTCTCACCACCGCCCCCATTCACACACACACAAAAGAAAACAATAAATTACCCTCAACCTTGGCCTCCATGTGCCTGAAAAAGAGAAGGCAGAGCTGAAATGCAAAGACCCAAAGAAGAAAATTCTCAGTTTTTGAACTCCCAAGAACACAGGTTCTGGCCCTTTAAAGGAAGCTTTTTGGGTCCTTTAAGGACAATTAGCTACTTAAGATATGAGAGGGGATTCTTCCAAAATGGCTTCAAGGTTTAGGCCCTGGATATTGAAGAAGAGTGATGTTGTTACCAAAGTTAGAGAATTAAAAACAGATGTGGGTTTGGGGTTTGGGATGGAGCAGCAGGCCCCAGAGAGAGGAGGCCAGCATGTTTGGACATGTTGACTTAGAGACGCCCACGTGCTACCATCCATCAGGGAGCTGCCAGGGCCCATCAGAGACTCAACAGCTCTTCCTGAATAAGTTTAGGAGTTATTCACACATTGGTGCTCATAGCAACCATGGGCTCAGATAATATCACTAAGTGGCAAGAGAGTCTGTGAAAGAGAAGGAAATGGTTGAAGAGCAAACCTTGCAGAACAACATAGAGGGGCTAAAGCCAGTGAAAGACCAATCAGAGGGGCAGGAGGAGAGCCAGAGAGGATGACATGTGGCATCCGTGGGAGAGGAGTTTGGTGTCAAAGAGATGAGAGATACACAGAGGAATGAGAATCAAAGCCCAGTTCCAGCAGAAGGACCGGCAGATGCAAAGAAACAAGAGCTTTCTTATGCAAGGCAACTGTTTACCTGAGTGACAGGTATCCAGCATTGAAGAGCCTGCAGAGCCAGGTGGGGTGCAGAGATACATGAGTCTGGACTGGAAGCCAGGGACCGGAACTCTATTCTGTAAATATGGGTGAGGCCATCAAAGGCTTTTGAATAGAAGAGCATTATAATCAGGTTATCTTTTAGGAAGATCCCTGTGACACCAAGATGAATATGGAAGTGAACAGGGGCAAACCCGGAGATGAGTGAGCTTGAAAGAGCCTACTGCTAGGGTCCAGGCTGAAGGCCTGGGGCCCAATTAAGGCAGAAGCAATGAGGAAAGAAAGAAAGGATGAGTATTCGGAGAGTTTTTGATGTTTAACAAAGAAAAGTTGAGAGACGAGAAGAATTGGAATGAGAGGGATGGTGGGAGGGTGGGAGGGTGGTGGAGGTCATAATGGCAGCAGCTAGAGCGTATAACCACTTCCTATGGGCCGGATACTGTTGCAAGTGAAAGGCACACGCGTTTGGAGACTGATTGATTGGATTTGGGCATAAAGCAGAAGGGAGGGGAATGGGAACAGAGGGCCAAAGACAGACCCATCAGCTTCTGGTTTGAGCTTTCTTGGGATCCATGTGGAGATTGGTGTGTAACAGGAATCACGGTGGGTTCTCTGTCCCATGCAGCGCCTTGAAGGGAGGCAGAGAGAGTATGAGTTCTTCGGCCTGACGCCTGACACAGAGTTCCTTGGCACCATCACCGTCTTTGTTACCACCTGGTTCAAGGAGAGTGCCCCCTACGTGTGCCGAGTGAAGACACTCCCAGGTGAGTTCAGCTGAAGCCAGAGGGAAGTGTGGCTCCTGAATCCAAGTCTTGACTCTCCTCTTTCCTCACCGTAACCAAGGTGAGTCTTGGCAGCACTCTAAAAAACCATGGAAGGGTTATCAGTGTGTTATTGAAGTCAGTCTTTGTTTATCCATAAAAGAGGTGGCTGATGAGTTATCAAAGCAAATGTTTGATTCTCACCCTCCAGCCTGTCTGGATTGCCCCTCTCTGACAGGCCTTGTATGTGTACCTTGGCAAAGCAAACTCACCTTAATATTAACCCAGGTGAGATATACTGGAGGGAAAATCTGCAGGGGGGAAGCGGAGAAGATAAAAAGATCCCTCAATATCTTCCAAAGTCAAACAATAATAATGGTATCAGGATAACTAGCATTTCCGCAGTGCTAACAGGGACCAGGCACAACCAGGTGCAACCCTCATGAACAGTCTATGGGGTAGGTGTTCTTTTCATCCTCATTTTGCAGATGAAGAACCTGAGGTTCAGAGTGGTTAGGTAACTTGCCCATGGCTGGGCACAGTGGCTCACACCTGTAAATTAAGCACTTTGGGAGGCCAAGGCAGGAGGATCGCTTGAGCCCAGAAGTTTGAGACCCGCGTGGGCAACATGGCAAAACCCCATCTCCACAAAAACATCAAAAAATTAGCTAGATATAGTGGTGGGCACCTGTGGTCTCAGCTGCATGGGAGACTGAGGCAGGAGGATCACTTGAGCCCAGGAGGTTGGGGCTGCAAAGAGCTGTGTTTGTACCTCTGCACTCCAGCCTGGATGACAGAGCGAGATTGTGTCTCAAAAAAAAAAAGCTATTGGCCGGGCGCAGTGGCTCAAGCCTGTAATCCCAGCACTTTGGGAGGCCGAGGCGGATGGATCACGAGGTCAAGAGATCGAGACCATCCTGGTCAACATGGTGAAACCCCGTCTCTACTAAAAATACAAAAAATTAGCTGGGCATGGTGGTGCGTGCCTGTAATCCCAGCTACTCAGGAGGCTGAGGCAGGAGAATTGCCTGAACCCAGGAGGCGGAGGTTGCGGTGAGCCGAGATCGTGCCATTGCACTCCAGCCTGGGTAACATGAGTGAAACTCCGTCTCAAAAAAAAAAAAAAAAAAAAAAAAAAAAAAAAAAAAAAGCTATTTGCCCAAGGTCACACACATGCTGAGGGATGGAATAAGGCCTAATTCTAAAGGCCATATTTTTATCACAGAGCTACTATAGACACAGTTGGGTTTTTTTGTAATTTTTTTGTTTTTTGTTTTTTGAGACAGAGTCTCACTCTTGCTCAGGCTGCAGTGCAGTGGCACAATCTCGGCTCACTACAGCCTCCACTCACCACAACCTCCGCTTCCTGACTTCAGGCGATTCTCCCACCTCAGCCTCCCAAGTAGCTGGGATTACAGATGTGTGCCACCACCATGTCTGACTAATTTTTTTTTTTTTTTTGGAAAATGGGCTGGGCGCGGTGGCTCAAGCCTGTAATCCCAGCATTTTGGGGGGCCGAGGCGGGTGGATCACGAGGTCAAGAGATCGAGACCATCCTGGTCAACATGGTGAAACCCCGTCTCTACTAAAAAAATACAAAAAATTAGCTGGGCATGGTGGCACGTGCCTGTAATCCCAGCTACTAAGGAGGCTGAGGCAGGAGAATTGCCTGAACCCGGGAGGCGGAGGTTGCGGTGAGCCGAGATCGTGCCATTGCACTCCAGCCTGGGTAACAAGAGTGAAACTCCGTCTCAAAAAAAAAAAAAAAATGTACATTTTTTGTGTGAAAAAAATCAAAACAGGGTTTCGCCCTGTTGCCCAGGCTGGTCTTGATCTCCTGGCCTCAAGTGATCCACCCGCCTCAGCCTCCCAAAGCGCTGCGGATACAGGCATGAGCCACCACCCCAGCCTAGATATAGTTTTGAGTCATCTGCTCAATGAGGTGGTTCCTTCCTCTAGCACATTGAAACTTGATTCTCGCTGGGCGCGGTGGCTCACGCCTGTAATCCCAGCACTTTGGGAGGCTGAGGTGGGTGGATCACGAGGTCAAGAGATCGAGACCATCCTGGTCAAAATGGTGAAACCCCGTCTCTACTAAAAATACAAAACATTAGCTGGGCATGGTGGCGCGTGCCTGTAATCCCAGCTACTCAGGAGGCTGAGGCAGGAGAATTGCCTGAACCGAGGAGGCGGAGGTTGCGGTGAGCTGAGATCGCGCCATTGCACTCCAGCCTGGGTAACAAGAGCGAAACTCCGTCTCAAAAAAAAAAAAAAAAAAAAATGTTTAAAAAAAAAAAAGAAGAAACTTGATTCTCATCACAAGCATCATGATATTTTTATTAGTGTTTATTTTCATAGACAGATGGAAATGTTGCATTGCTCAGGCTGCAGGTTTAGAGGATGGATAGCAGTGGGCGAGATAGATTTGGTAAAACAGTCTCCACTTCATCCTCATGTTCAGATTCATGATGTCAGTAAGTGATCTCAGTTCCAGCCATGCCAACATTCAGAACAGAGTTGAGTCTGCAAGCTGGACATTGTGTGTGGCCCAGCAGAAAGAGGAGTACCGCATGAGGAATGAGAAGGCACAGTGTTAGTCAGACGCCAGCCAGCCACGTGCCTGGGAGAGTCACCGACTCTGGGAGCCTCATCCCTCATCTGACAGAATTGCTGATGCCTGGGCTGAGGCCATAATCAGAGGCCAGGCAGCTGCCAGAGCTGGGCCCTAGAGTATGACGGTCTGGTCCTCAGGTTTGTTCGGAAACTCATCAGTTTTCCAAAGAGCCCGCAAGAGATGGATTTCTCCGCCCGAGAATCCCAGTGCATTAATTGGCAGGGGAACAGCCAGCACTGGCCACTTGCATGGGGTATACCCTTCCTGGGGCAAGGGCTGCTAGGGAGCCCAGAATAGAACTTAGCAAGAGGAGAACTAGAAAAAGGAAACTGACTTTCTGGGGCTAAGCTGGGAGCATTTGTGTGACCCTCTTCCCTGGACTGTCCTAGACAAATCTCACCTGCTCCTGGCCCACCCTTGGCTCACCAGCTTTTTGACAATGTGAAGACCACTCCACCCTTATCCACAACACCTTTCTGTTGCCTTGTCCTTACATGGCCTTTTTTTTTTTTGAGATGGAGTTTTGCTCTTGTTGCCCTGGCTAGAGTGCAGTGGGGCGATCTCGGCTCAACACAACCTCCGCCTCCCAGGTTCAAAGGGATTCTCCTGCCTTAGCCTCCTGACTAGCTGAGATTACAGACGTGTGCCGCCACGCCCAGCTAATTTTGTATTTTTAGTAGAGACAAAGTTTCTACATGTTGGTCAGGCTGGTCTCAAACTCCCAACCTTAGGTGATCCGCCCACCTTGGTCTCTCAGAGTGCTGGGATTATAGGCATGAGCCACCATGCCCGGCCCCATGGTCTTGCTCATAATGGGATACCATTTTTTCCTGAGACTGTAGCTACTTTTATATAAATAACACTTTTTGGTGGCTACTTCTTGCTGACATATAGAAGGCACCTTATTCTTTAAAATATATTAAAAACAATTCCCGCATTTATTAGGTTCTACTATATTGCCAAGCAAATATTTGTGCCAAATGCTTCACATATATGATTTAATCTTTATTATTAAATGTGACATACATTATTTAATCTTTAGAACAACGCTGCAAGTTGGGTAGCATCATCCCATTTTACAGAGGAGGAACTCTGACTCAGAGAGGTTAAGCAACTTGCCCATGACCACACAGCTGCTCGGGGAACCTGGTTGATTCATCTGGTTCTGAAGCCTGGGCTCTACCCACCACTTTGTAGCTTTGCTTACAGTGAGCCCCCTCTACTGCATACTTCTTCCATTTCAGAGTGATGCATCCTGCCCTTGACTGTGTATCCTGACGTCTGCATTACCCACAGAATCCCCTTTATCTACCTCTCAGTAGATAAACAGAGAGGGCCACAGAGCATTGCACCAGCATCTTGATGATGGAAAAGGCTCTAAGGGCCATTTCACCTCATTTCCTAATCTTACAGATGAGGAAACTGCGGCTTCCTTACAGAGTGGCAGGGAGGATAAGTTTTGGAGTTACACATGTAACTCCACTGAGTAGCTGTGTGACCTTGGTCAGGTCACTTAAGCTCTCTGGGACTCAGCTTTGTTATCTGTGGGAAGGGAGCATGCCTATCATTCTGTGTTGTATTTTCATGATGTAGTGAGATAACATAGGTAGAGCACCCAGCACAGCCCATGGCCCGTAGTAGGAGCACAGTCACCGCTGGTGACTGTTATTATTAAAGGGTAGACCAGAGAGGGTCATGCAGGCAGGAAGGATGCTCAGCATCCAGGTGTGGCAGAACCAGACCTGGAACACTCCATATTCCTTACTCCTAGGCAGATGCTGTTCTTATTATTCCATCCAGCCTTCCTATGGGTGAAATGGCAATGTATCAAATACACACAATGTAAAATGGAAGTGTCAAGCCAGGGACCATTCCATGTCCCCATCCTGTCCTGGGACAAGGAGCAGTGGTTTTCCAGGAATGTTATAGCCATTCAGACATTCAGGTCATGTCTTTTTCCTGGAGTAGGGATGGGGTAACATGTGACAGGGGACAGGGTCTCACCAAAGCAGGAAGCTGACCCAGAGAGGCTCAAGCTCGTGGGCTAGGGGAGGAGCGAGGAGTGGGTCAGAAGTAGAGGACCCAGCAGTTCCCGGGGTTCACAGTGATCGCCAAGGTCACTGGAGCTATTGAATAACTCTCCAAGCTGAGGCCACACAGGGGCCAGGAACAGAGGGAGGGTGATTAGCGAACCCCTGGACTGCAGGGGTCTTGACTCTTTAAGTCGCCTTCCCTCTGTGTCAAACTGTCAGTTTTACCAGACTCCAATGACCTCTTCCTCCCCAAGCCCTTCACAAGTCCCACTTGGACCAGTGACAGGAAGTGTGTCATGCCTGGAACCGGCTGCACCCATCCCAAAGATGCTGGAACACTGGGCGGAGGCTCGGGCATCAGAGCCCTAGTCATCCCTCTCCCCTCTGTTTTGGACAGGACAGTGCCTTCCCAGGCTCCCTTCCTGACCAAGATCTTCCCTGATGCCCAGCCCCTTACCTTGGTAGGGAGGTAGAGGGGACAGGCCTCCCTGTTGTCCCTTCTCCCCTCCGTCTGCCTCTACCCTGCCAGGGAAGCAGGACCGCCCTTAGACTCAGGCAAGAGGGGCCCTTCCTGCACCAGCACTTTAGAAGGCCCTTCTGGCCCTGCCCCGTCCATATTCCCCCTTGCAAGATGAAGACTCCATACAGTAAAAGGGACAGGTCCATCTAGATCCTGTGGCCTTTTTTCTAGACCACATTGTGAGTAGCCGAGCCCGTGAAACACTCTGTCATACGGCCCAGAGCTTGCCATCTGTCTAGGCAGTCCTCTTTTGGGGGTCCTTCCTCATGAGGACAGACACTGCTGACATGCAGTGCAGACCCTTGACCCAAAGGACGATCAACTGGTGGCTATTTGTGGGGGCACTGATGAGGTCAACCATGAGGACCGGGGCATCTATACACATGTGCATGAGGGCCCTGGCAGTGTGGGATGGAGCTGGGCCAGGCTGGGCTGGGCTGGGGGCCTGCAGTGCGCTGCGGACTTTCCCTGCCCAGCCTCACCACTTCAGCACGGTACCTAGAGAAGTCCAAGAACTCTGAATTAAAATACGGCATCCCAGGTGGTTGTGAAAAGTGTTTTCGTCAAGGTGGAAACATAGAACATTTTATTTAACAGTGTAAACATACAATTTGTAAATTCTGACTATTTAGGCATACCGTATATGGACTTCCATTTGTGATCTTGCATTCTGAGTATAGAAGGGGCCTCCCAGCCCAGCTGGAGAGGCTTTTCAGCATCCACATGTGGGGCTGGACCCAACCGGGCCCAGGCAGAGCCCCGTCTCATGCTTCCTCCTCTGGCCCCTTTGCTTTCCCAGACCGGACATGGACCTACTCCTTCTCTGGAGCCTTCCTGTTCTCCATGGGCTTTCTTGTTGCAGTGCTCTGCTACCTGAGCTACAGATATGTCACCAAGCCACCTGCACCTCCCAACTCCCTGGTGAGCCGTCCTCCTGGGGCGGGAGAGAGAGGTCCAGGGGAGGGCCTGGGCTCTGAGGTCCCCGGTTCTCCCCAAAATGCAGAGATCCACAGACAAAGCAGGAGATGGGCCTGCTGTCTCCCTTCATGGAGCTCACAGTCCCACCTAAAGTCAACAGCCGTGTGGCCCAGCAGGTCTCAGGACGCAGTGAAGAGGGGTGGGTGATCAGGAAGAGTGGACATGGAATAGAAAAGTCACATGGCTTGGAAGTGTCCAGCACCAGGAGGGTAGCGTGGAACTTCAGTGAGCAGCAAGGCAACGAGGGAGGAGTGGTGGGTGCCTGGAGAGCCGTGGCACTGATGCCCTGTCTAAACTGGCAGCAGGGCACCACCATGTGGGAACTCAGGCCCAGCACTGCCTAATCTTCATGTTTTTCAAGAGAAGTCAGAGTTTCTGATTATTATGAAATCTCCAAATTTTCAAGTATTCAGAACTAATTTTTTTCACTTTTTTTTTGAGATGGAGTCTCACTCTGTCTGGAGTGCAGTGGTGTGATCGCAGCTCACCGCAACCTCTGCCTCCCGGTTCAAGCGATTCTTCTGCCTCAGCCTCCCATGTAGCTGGGATTACAAGCATGTGCCACCACACCCAGCTAATTTTTGTATTTTTAGTAGAGATGGGATTTCACCGTGTTGGCCAGGCTGGTCTCAAACTCCTGACCTCGGGTGATCCGCCCACCTGGGCCTCCCAAAGTGCTAAGATTACAGGCGTGAGCCACTGTGCCCAGCCATTTTAAACAGAAAATTTTTAAATGGCAAAACTCATTTTTAAATGGAAAGCCCTTTGTTACAGCTCTTTTAAAATTTGTCTAGCACGTGAAGACCAGAACCCCCCACCCAAAAATAAAATGGAAAGCCCTGCACCAGCCACACAAATCACATCAGCAGCCCCCACCTGATGGCAGTGCCATCTCTGCCAGAGCAGCCAGGCCCACGGCAGAGGCCATGAGTGGAGCCACCTGGGGCACCCGGAGCCTGCTCTCGCCCATCCGCGGGACAGAAGAGCTCTGAGGGAGTTTTGCTCAACGTGCAAGTCCAGATGAAGCATATTCTGTCAAGCTCTCCTGACCTCTCCTGGCTCCTTCCTTTCCTACCCTGACCCTGTATTAGGCCCTCAGGGACCCGTGGGCCAGGCAACCATGCAGGCCACCACCTCCAGAGCATGCCCCAAGGCAACCCCAATCCCCGTTATCCATTCCCTGGATTATCTGCCTCCTGGAGAAACCAGAGCCTGGGTCTCTCTCCCTGAGATAACCCAGACTTTAGAACCAAAGAGCTGAGAGACCCTGTCCCTTTGCTGGCACCTAGAGTCATCTCTGCGAAGCAGAGGGGATATGGGACAGATGCATCTTGAAAATGCCCCAGATGCCTCCCCATAGAGGACCTCACCCACCCACATCACCAGCAGGGAGCGTGGCACATACCCTAACTGAGGGGGGGCACTGTTGTTGTCCCTGCACAGAACGTCCAGCGAGTCCTGACTTTCCAGCCGCTGCGCTTCATCCAGGAGCACGTCCTGATCCCTGTCTTCGACCTCAGTGGCCCCAGCAGTCTGGCCCAGCCTGTCCAGTACTCCCAGATCAGGGTGTCTGGGCCCAGGGAGCCCGCAGGAGCTCCACAGCGGCACAGCCTGCCTGAGACCACCTACTTAGGACAGCCGGACATCATCCTCCAGCCCTCCAACATGCCACCTCCCCAGATATTCTCCCCACTGCCCTATGCCCCAAACACTGCCCCTGAGGTTGGGCCTCCATCCTATGCACCTCAGGTGACCCCCGAAGCTCAACCCCTATTCTACACCCCACATGCCATCTCTAAGGTCCAGCCTCCCTCCTATGCCCCTCAGGCCACTCCGGACAGCTGGCCTCCCTCCTATGGGGTATGCATGGAAGGTTCTGGCAAAGACTCCTCCGCTGTGACACTTTCTAGTCCTAAACAACTTAGGCCTAAAGATCAGCTGCAGAAAGAGGCACCAGCTGGAATCTGCCTGCCAGGCCGCCTTTCTCTGCAGGAAGTGACCTCCCTGGCTATGGAGGAATCCCAAGAAGCAAAATCATTGCACCAGCCCCTGGGGGTTTGCACAGACAGAACATCTGACCCAAATGTGCTACACAGTGGGGAGGAAGAGACACCACAGTACCTAAAGGGCCAGCTCCCCCTCCTCTCCTCAGTCCAGATCGAGGGACACCCCATGTCCCTCCCTTTGCATCCTCCTTCCCGCCCCTGTTCCCCCTCCGACCAGGGTCCAAGTCCCTGGGACCTGCTGGAGTCCCTTGTGTGTCCCAGGGATGAAGCCAAGAGCCCAGTCCCTGAGACTGCAGACCTGGAGCAGCCCACAGAGCTGGATGCTCTTTTCAGAGGCCTGGCCCTCACCGTGCAGTGGGAACCCTAAGGGGAACGGGAAAGGCCTGGGGCTTCCTCCTTGTCCTTGCCCAGCGTCACATCTTTGGCTGTCAATCCCATGCCTAACCATGCTGCATACTTTGCGTCCCAGCCCCAAACGGGTACTCTTGAGAGAAGCAGAGGGCATGGCCTGCAGGGCCCCTGCCATGGGTGAGCCCCCCACTGGAGCAAAGCAACCTGATAAGGACTGCAGCAGAGAAGCCCTGGGGAGCCGTCTATGTAGACAAGCGTGTGCTAGCTGAGCCCTGCAGGGCAGAAATGACAGAGACCAAGGAGGAAATGCAGGAAAACCCCCGAGATCCAGGGCCCCACCTTCTAACATCCTGGATTCAGAGTTCTCAGGGAATCTGCCTCTCCTCTCCCTATTCCTGACCAGTTTCACAGCTAGCTTGACAGAGTGTGAGGCCCCTGCCTCTTCTGTGATTGCTCAAAGGTGAGAAGAGAGCCTGGAAAAGGACACCTCGCAGGAGGCTGGGCAGAACCAGAACAACCTGCACTTCTGCCAAGGCCAGAGCCAGCAGGACGGCAAGACTCTAGGGAGGGGTGCAGCCTGGGGCTCATTCCCAGCCAGGGCAGCTGCCGATGTTGCACTATTCCTCTGCTAGAAAGAGGCAAAATGAAGGTCCACCAGGGAGGGAGACACACAAGGCTTTTCTGCAGGCAGGAATTTCAGTCCCTATCCTGATGATGGGGTTTAAAAGGAAGGTAAGGACTGCGTCCCCTGAACAGGTACACTAACACACTGTACTAACAGCACAGCTTTGGAAACTCTGCCTGGGTTCAGCCCATCTGGGCTCAAATTCCAGCCTCACCACTTACAAGCGGTGTGACGTCAAACAAATGAATCAATGCCCAGAGCCCTGGTTTCCTCATCTGTAACATGGGGATCATAACACCTACCTCACCGGGTTGTGGCGAAGATGAGATTAAGTCGTCATTAAAGTGCTTAGTAGTGCTGGTACATGGGCCGTGCCCAATAAATGGTAGCTATTTCCTGTTGTGATTTTTTTTAAACCATGTCACACAAGGAGTGACCCCCTCCCCCAATCTGGATTGGCTTCAGACACACCTGGCATTTGCTCATGGGCTTAAATGACCTGGATTTCCTCAGGACGGGCAAAGCCAGAGTGGTCTGGGGTGGGAAAGAGGAGGGACTGCAGGGCCTTCTAGAGACAGAGTCCAGAGACAAATTACATGGAACCTTCTCCCTGAGATTGTAGGCAGAAGCCATTGTGTGTGGCAGCAGTGCTCTCAGATGGCCTCTGTCCATCTGGCCTCCCTGACCCCCCACAGAGGCAGCACTGGGCACGCCGTCCCCCTCCCCAGGTAGGGAGAGTGCCCTGCGCTCTCTGCTCCCAGAGTGCTGCCTTCCCTCTGTATCATTGCATCTCAGACAACCCCTAGCACCATGAGGAAGCCAAGGCCCTGAGGGAGAGGGGACCCACCCAAGGCTGCACTATTGAGGCTATGACAGAGTTGGGGCGCAAACCTAGGGCTGTTTGTCCTCATTGAGAGAGGAAGCTTTCCACACCTGTTTGGATTCTTGGAGGATGAGACTAGTGGAGGCTGAGGGGAGGCCTCCTAATGGGGTCCCCAAGAGACAAGCGCCCCTGGTCACCTTGCTCCAAAGCCTTTTTTGGGGGAGGGTCTCACTCTGTGGCCTAGGCTGGAGTGCAGTGGCATGAACACAACTCACTGCCGCCTTCACCTCCCAGACTCGAGTGATCCTCCTACTTCAGCCTACCAAGTGGCTGGGACTACATGTGCCTGCCACCATGCCCAGATAATGTTTGGTATTTTTCATAGAGACAGGGTTTCGCCGTGTTGCCCAGGCTGGTCTTGAACTCATGGGCTCAAGTGATCCTCCTGCCTCAGCCTCCTAAGGAGCTGGGATTATAGGCGTGAGCCACCACATCCAGCCTCCAAAGCCTTTTCTGAACATTTCTGAGACAGAGGATGGAACACCAGTTGCCTCGGGGGGACCCTTCCCAGAGCGGACAGAGTGCACTTTCTCTTGCCGGTTATGTCTCTCCTCTTCCCCACCCTTCCCTGTTCCCAGGACACAGTGACAGGTGGTGGTGTTCTTATCTGCTGGTAATTAATGTTTAACATCTCCTCGGAGTTACTGGTTTAGACCCAACACCTCCGTGCAGAGGCACGGGTCTCACTGGACAGCACCCCCAGCCAGTTCACCCCAACATGCAGCCAAGTCAGCCGATGACTGCTACGCCTCTCCCCACCCACTGCAAATAAGTCCACTTCCTGTCGCTTAGGTCACAATTGGCCAAAGGTTAACTGTCTTCACCTTGTTTATTAGTAAAAAACAACCTAACAGGTGGGTTATTCTCACCAAGTAAGTGAGACCCGGGAGCTACAGAAGTATTTTATTAAGACCAGACACAGTGGCTCACGCCTCTAATCCCAGCACTTTGAGAGGCCAAGGCAGGTGGATCAACTGAGATCAGGAGTTCAAGACCAGCCTGGCTAACATGATGAAACCCCATATCTACTAAAAATACAAAATGAACCAGGTGTGGTGGCAGGCACCTGTAATCCCAGCTACTCAGGAGGCTGAGGCAGGAGGATCACTTGAACACAGGAAGTGGAGGTTGCAGTGAGCCAAGATTGAGCCATTGCACTCCAGCCTGAGCAACAAGAGTGAAACTCCACCTTATAAAAAAAAAAAAAAGCTTTTTATTAAGAGCCATAAATATCTCTTCCACTCACAGGACCACGAAGTTCTCTGCCCTCCTCCAAGTGGCATTTCAAAAACGATACAGGGAGGGTGGAGTCTGAGTGTCTGAAGAGAGGGGTGGATGGCTCCGAGTCTGTGACTCACCCCTCCTCAGTGGGGGCAGGGCTGGGCTGCATTGACCCCAGAGGTCCCCTGCCTCCCAGGCAGCCCAGGCCTGCAGATAGAGCTGAAATCAGCCAGAGGGCAGAGTGTCCACGTACCCCAGTGCTGGCTGGGGTCCTCGCCATTCCAGAGAGTCCTTGATCCCATTTCCAAGAATTTCCACAGCCCTGCCCTGCCCAGTGAGAGAGGTGATTCTCCAAGCTGTCACTTGCCTACAAGGGATGGCAGAGTCAAACCCAGGAATAGATGACTAGTAATATAATAGTAGCAGTAGTCAAAAGTCATAAGAAAGAGAAGGAAGAAGTCAACCGTGTTGCTTGGCAGTTTATGTATTAATCACTCGTCCTGCTGGTAACCTTCTCTCCATGATAGGTTGTATTACTGACATTTCGCAAAGGAGGAAAATGTGGCTCAGAGAGATTACTTGCCCTAGTTCATGAAAATCCCCTGGGAAGCTTTCTAAAAATACAGCTTCCCCAACTCCACCCCAGACCTGCTAAACTCATAGTTTCTAGGAATCTGGTTTTTTGTTTGTTTTTGAGGCAGAGTCTCCCTTTGTTACCCAGGCTGGATTGCAGTGGCATGATCACAGCTCACTGAAGCCTCCACTTCCCCTGGCTCAGGTGATCCTCCCACCTCAGCACCCCCAAGTAGCTGGGACTACAAGCATGCACCACCATGCCTGGCAAACTTTTGTATCGTTTGTAGAGGCGGAGTTTCACCACGTCGCCCAGGCTGGCCTCAAACTCCTGGGCTCAAGTGATCCTCCGCCTTGGCCTCCCAAAGTGATGGGTAGAATCTGTATTTTTGATAAACTTCTTTGGTGATTCCTCTCAAGCAAGCTGAGGGAGTGGTGCCCTTACACCATCACTTTCTCTCTCCATAGCCTCAAATCTGCTACCTAGAGGGACCCCCATTACATCCGCTGCTGCAATAGAGTTGAGGGTGGGGGCGCTGCATGGCCGTGATGCCTGCAAACCCCTGACCTCCCAAGCTCCCAACTCCAGGAACATACAGGGCTTGCTACAGAGCTTATAGCTTGCAGTGAATGCCAAGAATGAAGTACTCAGACAATTCCAGCTGACCGGGGCTAGGGAGTAGCTCTTCTGAGAGAGTCCACCCCAGCATCCATCCACTAAGTATTTATTAAAAGGGCTTGGGCCACGCGGGGTGGCTCACATCTGTAATCTCAGCACTTTGGGAGGCAGAGGTGGACGGATCATGAGGTTTGGAGCTCGAGACCAGCCTAGCCAACATGGTGAAACCCCATCTCTACTAAAGATACTAAAAATTAGCCGGGTGTGGTGGCACGCACCTGTAATCCCAGCTACTCAGGTGGCTGAGGCAGGAGAATCACTTGAACCTGAGAGGCGGAGGTTGCAGTGAGGCAAGATCACACCATTGCACTCCAGCCTGGGCGACAGGGCAAGACTTTGTCTCAGAAAAAAAAAAAAAAAAAAAAGTATTGCATTAACCGCAGACATCCACTAGATGGTCATTTGAAGTGAGTTGCTGAAGCACCTGTGACCTTGCACAACATCCAAGCTGCTTTCTCAGGAAGCTGTTTTCAGCGTTCCTTATCACACCACACACTCCACTCCCTGTCCTGTTTTCAGGGTCCAGGAGTTTCGATCCCATGCACAAATAACATACACACAGTGCTTCAGTATTTTTCCATGCCCAACCTCAAATGCCATGTACATAAGCTTGAATATGTTGCCATGGACCCCCCCAACCCCAACACTTGCCTGAGTTTCCACCCAGAGAATTGGGCCAGTGAGATTGGAGCTCCTCCAGATTCCCAACCAGCCAAAGCCTCTGTGTCCCTCCCAAATCTGAGTGTCAACCTGGACAAGGAGGTGCTGGTGGGACAACTCTGAGACCCCAGCCTTCTGCTCGGCCCCTTGGCTGATGGAGCCCATTTTCCCTTCCACTCTATGGAGGAAGGGGGCATAAGGAAGGTAAGTCTTGGCCAGTCTGTATGAGAACAACAGCAGTTGGAATTAACTGGGGTACAAGAGCAACAGAGGGAAGGAAGAGAGACTGAAGCAGGCACAGTGTCGCCACCTGCAGGGAGAAAGCCTCGGGCTTGGTTGCTATCGGAGAAATGGCGTGGAGGAGGTTCTGAACAGAATAGTCAGTTTGTTCCCTTTTTTTTTTTTTTTTTTGAGATGGAGTCTCACTCTGTCGCTCAGGCTGGAGTATGCAAGGGCACGATCTTGGCTCACTGCAACCTCTGCCTGCCGGATTCACCCAATTCTCCTTCCTCAGACTCGCGCGTAGCTGAAATTATAGCTGCTTGCCACCACGTCCGGCTAATCTTTTGTATTTTTAGTAGAGAAGGGGTTTCACCATGTTGGCCAGGCTGGTCCTGAACTCCTGACCTCAGGTGATCCACCTGCCTCGGCCTCCCAAAGTGCTGAGATTATAGGTGTGAGCCACTGTGCCCGGCCAGTTTGTTCTTAATGGTCACAAGGCCAGGAAAGGAAATAAAAGAGATAAGGAGAGGGGAGAAAGAAGAAAGATAAGCCAGGTACAATAGCAGGTGTTTTATACATTTAACGTCATCTGAGTCTCCCAACCATTCTGCAAGGCAGGCAATTGCTATAGTCTGAATGTTGGAGTCCCTAAAATTTTATATGTAGAAACTTCATGTAATAGTAGTAAGAAGTGGGGCTTTTGGAACTTCATGAAGCCTATGCCCTTAATAATGGGATGAAGAGGCCTAGCATGGTGATTCATGCCAATAATCCCAGCACTTTGGGAGGCCAACGTGGGAGGATCCTTGAGGCCAGGAGTTTGAGACCAGCCTGAGCCACATAGTGAGACCCTGTCTCTACAAAAAATGCAAAAATTAGCCTGGTGGGGTGGTGCGTGCCTATAGTCCCAACTACTCAGGAGGCTGAGGCAGAATGATCACTTAAGCCCAAGAGGTTGAGGCTGCAGTGAGCCATGATAGTGCTACTGCACTCCAGTCTGGGCAACAGAGCAAGGTCCTGTCTCAAAAAAATAAAATGAATGGGATTAATCCCCTTATAAAAGAGGTTGAAGGGGGCTGGGTGTGGTGGCTCTCACCTGTAATCCCAGCACTTTGGGAGGCCAAGGCCGGCAGATCACCTGAGGTCGGGAGTTCAAG